GAATTCTACGCTCCGTCCACCTGACCCCAAAACAAGATCATCAAACTAAGTCACCCATTAGCTGACTGACTACGAAAAACTTGGCAAAGCCATTACCGAATATACTTTTATCGGCCATTGTTGGTCTAACCCGAATGTTCTTCTCAGCGACTGAGAGGCGTGGTTGATGGAAAAACTAAAACAGTCATTCCCAGAAAGAAACGCGAGGAACTACCACCATGGGTGTCATCGCTGACTTCAATCAATTACAACACAAACATAAAAAAACATAAGTCGATAAAAAAAACTTTTAAATGTTGAAAAAAACTAGGTGAACCAAAGTTTCCGACTGAAGGCCCAGCTAAGTCTGGAGGTACTTGATATTGAATGAATTTGATATACTGATGCCGCACAAAAAAAAATTGATTTCAAAAATTGGACTTTACCTGAAACCTTAGTTGTTTCTCTACTAAAGTAAGTCAGAAGAGTAAAAAATTTTGAGATAATCAGTACTCTCAAGACGATAACAACTCTCTTACGAAAAATAAGGAGTCACCGCTTCTGCAAGAACAATTATCGCAACCAATTCAATTGAATTTTCATCTCACATTTGATTGTGGAAATTGAGGAACTTCAAAAAATTTCTAAAAACGGTCACATGACTTCCCAAAATCCATAATTTTTGTAGCAAAAAGTAGGTCATTAATCCGATAAAAAAAGCTGAAATAATTTGGGCCGAGGAAACTTTTTTAGCGAAACAAAAAAAGAACGGAAATAAGTCAAGGTAAAAAAATTACAAATTGTAGGACTAAATCAAACACTAAACGCAATAAAGAAAAATACGCGCAGCAAAAAAAACGATTCTATGATGTGGCAACTAAGCCGACAACAGATGAACAGACAAATGATTGGCTGACAATAAAAAAAAACTGAAATAATTTGGGCCGAAGAATTTTTTAGCGAAACAAAAAAACGAAGGAAATAAGTCAAGGTAAAAAAATTACAAATTATAGGACTAAATCAAACACTAAACGCAAAAAAAGAAAAGTACGCGCAGCAAAAAAAAACGATTTTAAGATGTGACAGCTAAGCCGACAACAGATGAACGACAAATGATTGGCTGACAATTTTATTTGAAACAGAATATTTCCGTTTCAAAAAAAAAACATGCCCTGGTCAGATTCGAACCCGGGACCTTTGGCGTCCCAGGCATATTGATTATCTCCAGGCTAAGTTGACCGGAAACACATAGAAGTTCGAAGTCATCATGAACCAAGATACAAGTTGTTCCAGTGATTCTGCTAAACAAGTTAACTCGAAAAAAGTCTATGCTCCGGTTTGATAACGCTTGCTAATTGCAAGCGTAACATTCCCCACACGCAATATGACGCCTAAAAGGATGTTTCTCGTCTACTAACCCAGATCAAAAAGCTCGACTCAATTTAGTTTGTAATAATTTCTGAGTTGGATGACTTCGCCAGACACTCTACAAAAGAAAAAAGACCAAAATAGCGCGCCATAATCATCCCAAATGGTTCAATTAGTATCTTTCTAACCCTATATTTTTCAGAAAGGCAAACTGAAACAGAGGCGAAGCATAGCTTCGCACCACTTGCGATGCACCAAGTCCAAAAAAAACAACAGCAACAAAAAAAAACACTTAAAAAGCACAACTTGAAAATACTCAAAAATCAAAATCATGTCTGGAACCATGTAATATTTGCAGAAAACATCTACATAAACAAACACAATGGACGACAATTGATAAAAATTCAAAAAAAAATATAACCAGCGGCAACTGAGACGACGAAACTTCATGAAGAACAATGAACTCTAAAATCTATTCTCAGAATTTTAGCGAATCCGGGATGAAGCATAAAACTTATGCTTCCTTTGAAATAACCCCAAATTAGGTCACTAAGTCGATGAAATATAAGCCGAAAATATTCAATCCGAAGTTTTAAAGCAAAAAAAATAAAGACAGCAAAATAGACGAAATCAAGGCTAGTAAAACTAAAAATTGCTGGTGTAAATCAAAAGACTTCAAGCAACTTTATTCAAAATTGTGTACAGAAAAAATAATTCTTCGATGTGTCAACTAAGCCGACGAAACATAAGCAGATACACAATAGACCGACATTTTTGGGAAAGAAATACATCCAGTTTGAAAAAAAAAACAGTTGCTGCTCAGATTTGAACACACCACCATTACCGTCCCAGCCGTATTCTTCACCTCCAGGCTAAGTTCAGGACGCGCATAGAAGTTTGTATTCATTATAAACCAAGATATAGGTGATTCACACGATTCTCTTGAACAAGTTGACACAAAAAATAAAGTCTATTTTCCGGTTCGATAACGCTGCTAATCGCAAACGTAAAAATAGCCAACAAAATCAACTAATGGGCTAGCAATCAGTAAAATTTAGGAATGTCGCGAGCAATGAACCCAAAAAAGGCGCAAGGCCAAACAAGTAAAGCCGGTTACTGTGCAAGTAACACAGAACGTTCCGACCAGTGTCTTAGAAAAAACGAAGTTTTTTTTTCGAATTGGTGTAGTTTTTTCTGCGTGGTGTGATATAAATATGTGAACAAAAAAAGATCTTAGACATATTCGACATTTTTTAGCAGTATTAGCCATATGGAAAACAGTTTTTGAAGAAAAATGACAAGAAAAACAAAAAAAAAATGTTTTCAAAAAAAATTCAAAATTTTTCAAAACTTTTATCCAGACACTTTTTGATTTGAAGTTTTTGATTCTTTGACTACCAAATTGATGCTTAAAAAAACTCCAAAAACTAAACTTACCCAAGTAAAAATCAATTTTCGCGGCTTAAATTAAGCATAAATAACGTATTGTAAGCTTTCACGCTCACATTATTGTCAGAATTTATCATGGTAATAGAAGTTAGTTCACTCATATCACCCAGTCACAAACCATGGAAATTTCATAAATTAGGAAGTGTATAACTTGAATACAAGTAAAGAGTTAGATGGCTGGGAATTAAGCTAATCAGACTGACAGAATTAACATCTGCACCTTTTTAGCTTGAAATTAGGCCAAAAATCAAAAATTTCTTCTCGAAACTAAGAAAACATTTCGAAACTTTTCAACGTCGTTCGAATCACGACTGGAAGGACTTTACTATGATATATCAATTGCCCGTTCTGATGCTTATTTGTGATACCTGATAAAGCATGAAGAACAAGAATAGCCGGGTACTATCCCAGAAGCGCAGAATGTTCCGAGCAGTCTTAAAAAACACATTTTTTTCTTCAAAATACTGTCTTTTTTTTCGGCGTTGTGACAACTAGAACACCGAAAAAAAACTATGAATTAGGTATATTCGACAGCCATAAAATTGTAGAAAAATACTGGGCAAAAAACGAAAAGGCGCTAAAATACTCAAAGTAAATTAACGTTACCCAAGTAAAACTAATATTTTACGTTTAAGTCTACGCTATTGTAAGCTTTTAAGCAATTAAATCAAGACTGCTCGCTTGCTTTATTCGCTCGAATTAAGACGAAAAATCAAAAATTTCAAACCGGTTTTTCTCGACACTCGTAAAACTTTTCTGAATTTTTTATATGTGGTTCGAATCAGGACTGTAAGGGCTTCAATATATATAACTGAAACCAGTCTGATCATTATTTGTAGTACCAGATTTTGCGTGTAAATAAAAAAAACTACCAAATTGATGCTTGAAAAACTCTAAAAACTAAACTTACCCAAGTAAAAATCAATTTTCGCGGCTTAAATAAAGCATAAATAACGTATTGTAAGCTTTCACGCTCACATTATTGTCAGAATTTATCATGGTAACAGAAGTTAGTTCACTCATATCACCCAGTCAAAAACCATTCAAATTTCATAAATTAGGACAAGTATAACTTGAATAAAAGTAAAGAGTCAGATGGCTGGGAATCAAGCTAATCAGACTTATAGAATTAACATCGGCACCTTTTTAGCTTGAAATTAGGCCAAAAATCAAAAATTTCTTCTCGAAACTAAGAAAACATTTCAAAACTTTTCAACGTCGCTTTAAATCTACGCTATTGTAAGCTTTTAAGCAATTAAATCAAGACTGCTCGCTTGCTTTATTCGCTCGAATTAAGACGAAAAATCAAAAATTTCAAACCGGTTTTTCTCGACACTCGTAAAACTTTTCTGAATTTTTTATATGTGGTTCGAATCAGGACTGTAAGGGCTTCAATATATATAACTGAAACCAGTCTGATCATTATTTGTAGTACCAGATTTTGCGTGTAAATAAAAAAAACTACCAAATTGATGCTTGAAAAACTCTAAAAACTAAACTTACCCAAGTAAAAATCAATTTTCGCGGCTTAAAAAAAGCATAAATAACGTATTGTAAGCTTTCACGCTCACATTATTGTCAGAATTTATCATGGTAACAGAAGTTAGTTCACTCATATCACCCAGTCAAAAACCATTCAAATTTCATAAATTAGGACAAGTATAACTTGAATAAAAGTAAAGAGTCAGATGGCTGGGAATCAAGCTAATCAGACTTATAGAATTAACATCGGCACCTTTTTAGCTTGAAATTAGGCCAAAAATCAAAAATTTCTTCTCGAAACTAAGAAAACATTTCAAAACTTTTCAACGTCGCTTTAAATCTACGCTATTGTAAGCTTTTAAGCAATTAAATCAAGACTGCTCGCTTGCTTTATTCGCTCGAATTAAGACGAAAAATCAAAAATTTCAAACCGGTTTTTCTCGACACTCGGAAAACTTTTCTGAATTTTTTTAATGTGGTTCGAATCAGGACTGTAAAGGCTTCAATATATATTACTGAAACCAGTCTGGTCATTATTTGTAGTACCATATTTTGCGTGGAAATTAAAAATAAACAAGTAAAACATGCCCGAATACATAGTTCTTCGACATTTTTCAAAATGGGTGGAACAAAACAATGAATTTATTTGACAAACAGCGCAGACATCTACAATTGCAAATCCAATTTTCCTTCCACGAAAACCTCCAAACCATACTACTTACCTCCTCTGTGGTAGACAGTTCCGTCAGGTGTTTTGTACTGCACAATCTCTGGTCCATTCACTAGCTCTTTACGTACATACTGGCCTCCACATTTGCTCCCGAACACTTCTTCCACGCCATCTCCTTCACCTTCAACTACTCCACGCATTTTTCCCTTCTGGTCCTAACTATAGCTTCACTAGTCGTTAAAATAAAGTCATCTTTCCAACAATTGATTTTTCTGCGAAGACAGAGGCTTTTAACATGCTATAATCTACAAAAAGTCCATCGAAAAGGGCTTGCTATCATACGTCGGTCCGTGAATATATATTTTTTCTATTTTTCTCTTCATAAGGTAATCAGAAGGTCAAAAGTATCATAGTAACCGAGGTTACAGTCATGAGTCCCTTCATCATGTATTCCAGTCAAAATCCTTGGAATTTTCTAGATATGGAAGTGATAATGATAAAAGATGACAAGTGTTTAAGTCCTTTTCAATTATAATCGATACGAGTTACGTTTCTTCAATGAGAACACGCAACTCGACACGAGATAATATAATATACAAGTGTTACAAGTATAAAATTTCGTCGAAAGTTATTTTGTCATTTATTGTTCCGAGTACGCAAGCGGCGTTCGCAATCTGTATTGCCAGGGAGATTCTCTGTTTTAAAAAGCTGCCTGCTCTGGGTTCCTCAGTGCATATGCTTAGGTTCTAACGAAGCTTGCTAAAAAAAAACTTCTGTGCTGGGGACTTCCGCGCCCTGAATTTCAAAAGCTAGCGGTTGAAAAAGATATCCCTCATTTACAAGATCTTTATACTTGTCAATTTTTCGCTCTTCCGCTTCAGCGGCAGCCGTACCAGGGTTACAAACAGACCCGGCATTAATCCAACAAGGAGCTAAGGAGTCTACTACCGTTACATCCCACAAGAGCTGCTTACCATCAGCCCATGGAACGAGCGTCAAACCGTCTGTTCGCTTCTGCTCGGTCCTGTAGAGGTGTCGTGGTTCTAAAACAGACGGAATGTGAGTATATGATAGACTCGGCTTTATAAGGGCATTCAGGTTTGAATGCCTAGAGAATCTCCCTGCACTTTTGAGGCAAGAAAGACCATGCCAACCATCCTCGGTAACGTATTTTCCGCACACGCATTTATGCCGTTCGCATATTTTTGATCCTAATCGAAGTCCTATCGCAATTCTGAATTGTTGGTTCGACAGTTTTAACCTTAAATTTTTGCACGGGCTGACGTTCAACCATTGGGAGCCAAATCTATCTTGGAACGCGTTGAACCTTTTTACGTTCGTTGGTTCGAGTCGTAAAATCAAGTCTGCAATTTCTCTGTCAAAAATTGGCTCCGTCCAATTTTTTTTGGATTTCATTTTCCGGAGCCATTTCAATTTTTCCAAGGTCAAACCACCGTTTAAGCGCATCATCATAGGTTCCATCCACATGCTCCAAACCAAAGATTTCGCTCAAGGCATCTTTTGCTCCTACTGCTGAGGCTAAGAAAGCGGGTAAAGCGAGTAGACGAGCGGAAGAAACGCCCAAGCCACCTTTGGCTGCCGGGAGAACTGCTTGTAAAAACTGGTTATCATCCATTTTCACGTTAGTGACCTGGCATAACGAATTTCTTAGTAATTTTTTGTAGCGTTCCAAAAAACCATTTTGAAAAAACAAGGGCTTGTACGCAAAAAATATAGGAGTTTTGGCATGCTAAAGTAATTTTTCAGGAGGTACAAACCATAATGGGCGTCTAGTTTGTCAATGACATCCGAG